CCCCGCCCCATAGTATTTCCTGGTGTTAGTCCAATTTATGAAGTCCAAAGTCTATTAGCCATCTACCACAACTCTACCAGGCTCTTGTCCGTATTATGTCTTTTGTCCTGTCTGTCTCCCTCAACCTCAAACAGTCCATAGCTGCCCCTTTCTGAGCCTGGTTCTGCCGCATGTTTCTTCCCGTTAAAAGGAAGTTTTTCTTTCCCACTGTCACCAAGTGCTTGTTCATAGGGAGTGGTCTGATTGTTGGGGTTTTGGCAATACAGGCTGATACAAGTGTTGTGATTTAATGCAGTATAAATGCAATTAAATTGGAATGAATTAAAATGAACTTCATGCTTTCATCTGTTGACAGTCTTTATGGACACGCTCACTTCCTTTTCCAGCAGCACTCAGCACACCTGCCCACAGCACTTAGAGTACTACCGAATGGTTTTACTGTCCATGTTATTAATGTACATAATTGACCAGTCAACTCACCTGATCTGTACCTCACATTGTGGTGTATTATTAAACTACTACAAAAGGAAGACAGGAAACAGACGAGGTGAAGGCTATGATCAAAAACATTTTAGCTGTGCCATAAGCCATAAGAGCGCTGCATTGATCCTGGAATTAATGATAAACGAGCCTCAACCAAGCACTGAGTGTAGAAATATATTTATTTTCAGAAGTTGGTCATTTCTATATTGCAATGCAGTTTTGATTTTCATCTACTATATATTGTGTATTGAATTTCTAAATCTCAGGAGCCATAAACCACAATGATATTTTCTAAAAGATTTAAAATCTTTGCAATCGTGAGCAATGAATATAGAGTATATGAACGGTTACCTTTTTATGAACCTGTATATATATAGTACATATATTTATAGCAAAAGATGCTCAAAATAAACATGAACAGATGTTCAAATAATCACTATCAAGCTTGTACTGACATTGAGATTAGCTGTTGGTTATCAGGGTTTTGACTCTTGGCTCTGTGCCATGTCAAAGAGGAAAAAAGTTCCTAATATATGTAAGTTGAAACCTTCTGTTTATGAGGGGCAGCCAATCAAGAGAAAGCTAGCTTAAAGGAAGGTGGATGGCAGAGTGAAATACTGAGCTTCACCATAGCTCTGAGCAGGTAAACACTCTAAGGGTTATTTTGAACTGTGATTTGAGCAGCGTTAGACTAAAGATACAGAACTGGAAATGAGCATCACAACTTTAAAGCTAATGAAACGAATGAGCTACTGACTCCAGTGAATACTTCGTGTGTTTACAGTGTGACAGATCTTTTATCATGCGCTTCTGTTTAGAGCACTAAACCAAAGACAGACAAAGGACGTCAGTTTATATACAAATGTTTAATGAATAACAAAAGAATGGCAGTGGACATTTACACACATGCGGTTGGTTTGGTTCCAGATGGATTATAAAAAAGAAACCTCTACTTTTGAGTCCGCGCCTGAGTCCACCTGCTCGAGTGGGACACAAACGCGGCTCTGTAGTTATAAATACAAATCACAGGTTCTGGCAAACTAACCATCACGCTGGCATTTTGTTGGCAACAATAGCTCTATATGACAATAAACTATTGTAACATCCATTTGCAATAAAATGGAACAAACCGGCTCACATTGCCAACCAAGCGTAGATAGGGAAAAAACAAAAAACCACAGCTCGGCAGGCGGCTCAGTTTGCTCGAGTGTAAGGCTCTGAAGCACAGCAACACTGGCATGGGTAATTAGCTCCACACCGCTACTATTGTACAGACGGGTGACTGCGGTCCTTGAGAGCTGCACTAATTTAGCAAACCTCCCTTTGAGTCAGGCACTCCTTTAGACAGTCAAGTGACCCCTCAGAGTGAAGTCCTTGTTACACTTGAGATGTGAAAACCATCTTAAGTGCAGCCTTGAAGGACTGTGGCGGTGCACCTTGGCTCCAGCTTACACTGTGCTGCTAAGGACAAAAGTGGTTCTTTACAATCATCTATCCGTCGTGCTGCTGGCTTCTGGTAATGGGTTTTACTTAACAGAGAATGACAAATCACTTCTACGGCCACTTTGTGTGCGCAATTGTGTCGTCAAGTCTATTTGTTCGGTTAGCGTGGCGTGCTCAAGGCATCACGGTCCCTTGTGACAGAGATCTGGTCATCTCTGTGTGAACAAAGTAGGTCTTCAGCTCTCCTTTACCCTTCACATTGATGATGCCGCGACACGAACACATGTACCCTAATTTTGTTAAGATTTCACGTGTCTCCTCTGTTACCTGCACAGAAGGACGAGATGTGATTAAAA